GTGCGTGTGTATGTGTCTATTTGTGCGCTGGGCCTCTGTACTGATTTTTCATCTCGAGACTTACAAAAGCTCCAGGGCTGAAAATTTGGGAACTTAATCCACATGCATGTGCGGGCCCCCACCCTCAAAATAGGCTGTCTTACCCGAGTGGTACCCAAGTACGGGTCCGCAAAAGTTTTTTACGGGTAAGTTGCTAACTCGCGAACTAGAAAAGTTAGCTGAAATTTTAAGGAGGTATTCCACGTCCATATAAAGTCTCACTGAGCTCAAACCCAAACTCCGGGTATGCGTGGTACCCACATATGAGCCCGCCAAAGTTTCCTTCGGCTATGTTGCTAACTCGGGAATTTGAAAAGCTGTAATTTTAAGAGCATATTCCCCGCCTGTCTAAGTCTCAATGAGCTCGGACCCAGACACCGATTATGCGTGGTACTCATTTACGGGCCCGCCAAAATTTTTTTCGGACGTTGCTAACTCGGAAACCTAAGAAGCTAGAGGATTGAAATTTTGAGGGGATCTTCCCCATTCACGTAGGTATTAATGAACTCAAACCTAGTCTCTGGGTATGAGTCATCCCCACGTATGGGCCTGTGAAAGTTTTTTTCGGATAAGTTGCTAATTGGGGAACCTGAGAATCTAGAAGACTGGAATTTTGAAGGGATGTTTCCTGACTAGAAGTTGAAGCATCTGCCAGAAAAAGCGGTGTATTTGGCGACAAAAGTCTGCGAGGAGCTATGCAAAAATTGTGGAGCTCTAGAGCTCTGCAACAGGGAGCAAAAACGCATATTGTGATCATCCTGTCTGTGTGTGTGCGTGGGTGTTTATGTGCATGTGTGTGTTTTCACACTTGTGCGGATATGTTTGTGTGGGTGTGTTCGTCTGTCCAGGCATTTCTACTCAGCAGCCATGAAAGTTCTGGTGCTGAAATTTTGCCAGTGTACCCCCTGGCCAGTTGCAGCCTCAGGAACGTGGTATCATTTTCCATGCACATCTGCGACTCACATATGAAGAACAGTTGAGAATTTTGGCAGCAAAATTTCTAAGGAGCATGAAAAACTGAGAAGTTGAAATTTTAAGGGATTGTTTCCTACTCACCTACCACCAAAAGATTTTAAATTCTGCCTTAAGATATGCGTGATTCTCAGACACGGGCACTTGAAAATTTTGGCTGGAAAACTGCTCACTCAGGAACCAGAAAGGCTGGGAGACTAGAATTTTAAGAGGATGTTCTTAGCTCACGTACAACTTAAAGATTTCAGATTCAGCCCCAGATGTGCGTGATTCTCACGTACGGCCCCGTGAAAGGTTTTGGCGAAAAAATCGCCAACTCGGGAAGCAGAAAAGCTAGAAAGCTGAAATTTTGACAGAATGTTCCTTGTAAAAGTAAGACTTAATTACAAAATCAACTTTCTGAATTAGGAGGACCAGTATTTCACAAACTGCAGCTGCTGGGATTCCAAACGATCTTACTACATCACGAAATACTCCAAAAACGCATGATCGCACTGGTTCGCCCGATACGCGTTCGAAAGATTCGAAAGTTAATTGGCCGTCTATGCTTTCAAATTTTATAGATCAGCCTTTTTTTTACAAACGCCACCACTTCGCAAGACAGCAGAACAAATTTCAGCTAGCAAAACTTTTAGCATTCCTCAAAGACAGGAACACATCGCACATGAAGCTATAAACCTAAGCTGATGAACCTTGCCTTAGTGCAAGTTGGTATGTGCAAAATGAGCTGCCATGCATGTCCGCGCCCCCAAGCCAGATGCAGTCACAATGGCGGTATTGCCATCGTCGACAGTTATCGATTTTGTGCCAAATAAGGACCGATAAATTCTTTGTTTGAAAATTTATTGTTTAAGTAAATCAATGTGTTCTTCAGCAAATTTGTGAAAACTTGATCTTTCTTCTTCCTCCACCAAATTTTAGAAGCTGCTTACCTCTCCAAAAAACTCGATTAAGTTTTTGCATTTCCAGTTTGTAATAAATGTTACTTCTGAGAAAAAAATTTCAGGAGATTCGGGAAGCCTTAAACAAAGCAAAGCCTGGCCTTCTGCTCACCGGAGCCGTTGCTGCTGTTGAGGATATTATACGAAATAGCTACGATATTAAATCGATTTCTGGGTAATATTTTTTACGTTTCTGGTGATATTTAAATTTTAAGTTTAGGTGTGTTTTAATCTTCATAATGGATCGCCCTGCAAAAATGTTTCTAGTAACAAACTAACAGTTGGGACTTTGCTTTTGGATTAGTAGCGGAAGAATAACATTTGTCACTGTTGCAGAATAACATTTGTCACTGTTGCAACAGCCAGTATCATTTTTCTGTAAAAAAAGCAAATAATCTAAGGAAGTTGCAAATAACAAATAATTCAACCTGAGATGAATTGTGACACCCAACAATTGCAGGTTCTACGATTATATTTTCCTGCTGTCCTTCGATCTACACGGCTACTGGGAATCAACCACAGATATGCATGCGAAACTGCATGAAAAGAGCGGTAGTGGCAAAAACAACACTGTCTGTGCTTTCACTTCTAACATGAAAAATAATTAGATTTTTGAATATTTTTCTTAAATTGAAAACTTTGGTAGCTCGCATAAACCAGTTTGTGCGATTCACTTAATCAGTGCAACCTGCGCATTTGTAGCGCCACCAGGATGGTGTTTCTAATGCAGTTCTGTATGAAATCTTGCATTTGTGCAAATAAAAAATGCACTAAAGCAAAATAACCCATTATTCAGCTCTAAATCTCGAAATCCTGAAATTCTGGGAGCAAAGAAAACGAATTTGAGCGTGGTCGCGAAATTGTAATTAATTTACATTTCTTCTTGTTCTTCTTGCAAGGATCTTAGCTCAAAATCTAAATTAATATTAAGTCATGAACACCAAAGAATCTATGACTTAAAAATTTTCGGGGACTAATTTTTTCTTCTAGAGTGGGGACATGACTTGAATTATCTAACTATCTCATCAGCTTACAGGCGATACAAACTATTAATGTGCACTATTAAAACATAATAAGTGCTGTACGTTCGGTACACTGTACGAAATCTCGAGACTAGTCAAGAAATATTCAGGAGCATGCAGCAAAAGTGTGGCTGGATGGAGGGATGCCAAAAAGCAAAATTGTTATTGGAATTCCGACTTACGGTAGAGCATATCACCTCACATCATCGGCGAACGGTCTTGGTGCCAGCGCAAATGGTCTCGCAGACCCTACTGAGAATTTTGATATTGCAGTGCCGTACGAGGAGGTTAGTCTGCCGCTGTCAAGTTCGCTTTCTAAAAGGAAAATTGTCTATAAAACGCCACTGCAATAAATTCAGTATTTTTCGCATTTACACTCCCTTCCAATGAAACTAGTTTAACAGACAAGCATTAAATGTTTGTGCCTTGTGCAGAATAACTTATAATTAAAGGATATAGAGAAAATGATGGAGTAGAAAAATGAGGAAGAGAAGAAAAACGAAGTAAAAAAAG